TTTACGTGGTTCGATCCAACTGGATCTACGTCCACGGGAGGGAATCAATCAAATAGTTCACTAAGAAAAAAGAAACAGATAATACATAGCTTATACATAGAGATGAGCCCTCATCTTCCTTCTATGGCCTCCCTCTCAAGCGACACTTTGATACAAGGACTCAAGATGCTCTCCTCTCTTCTAGCTCTCTAGCTATTCTCTCCTCCTTTGTGGTAGCTTAAGATCTCTTCCCTTGCTCTTCTAAGCCTCACACCCTCTCTATTTATAGAAGCAATAGAGTTGTAAGTGAGAGGTAGGTGAGCGGTAGGTGAGATGTGGTATGTGAGCGATACCACATTACAAAAGTGTCTTTTTACCTTAATTCAGTAATTGGGGGTCAAAATAACAACCCCTAAATTTTTTCCTAACACACGGAGGTATTAACCCCAATAACAATGAGATACCCCTCCAAGACCTCCAGAATAACCGTTATACACGCATAATTCTACATGCGTAAGATGTAATTAAATATTTTTATGTTTCTTGAGCATGATATCTCTGTGTTTCTCTTTGCATGTTATTGATAAATCAACGCACCATTTTCCACTCTGTTACTTAAAGATATAATTTTTAATACTTGTAGTAAAACTATTATTAAATCAACGCCGAGATATACATGCCAAGTTTGACTTTGATTGCGGACTCGGAAGGTGGCGCGTGTGACGCGTGGCGATTTCCAGTTCGAAGTTAGTCCACGACGAAAAATATACATGCCAAGTTTGGTTGGTAGTTGGTACACGGGTATTATATTTTTTAATGCAGCAATGCCATCTTGGAGATGCCAATTAATTATTGGTCATCAGTTCAGTTTGCGTTTTGACAATGCCTTGCATTTATTTTCATTATTATTATTAAAATAAATACTCAAAGTTTGGGCAAAAAATATAACGATATTTCCCGATGATAAATATACTATTTGATGACACTTTGATCACTAAAGTTGTTTGTTTTACTTGATAAAATCTTCATTTCTCAATTTCTTAAATAAACAAACATGAATAATTGTTATACAAATAAATATCAAACTATTCATTAAGGATTAAATTACATATAATTCAAATATCAGTTGACAAGAAGATAATATATGATGGGATGGGCTTTCTTTTTTTGAACGAGAGATGCCACGTTTCAAAATTCCGAATTGGAGTCACTACACGTGTGCCAATGCAGCATACAGATGTCATAAAGCTGTGCCACGCCATTGATCCCATGCGCACGCCTCAGCTTCTCATTGAAACTCGCCACGTGTCTCACTCGACTTCCTTAAAACAGCGAGGCGTTAGTTCTCACATTTCGCAAACGGACGTCCGGTGCACTTCATTCTCTTTTTTGGACTGACGCGAATTTGGTGGAAAATGCTGTGCGTGCAGTGTGGGACGACGAGCAACCCGTGCCGTTGCAAGGTGGTGGGGCCCACGGTCGGGCTTCTGGCTTGCGCGCTGGCGGCGGTGGTGGAGTGGCCGGTGGGTGCGATCGTGTACATTTTCCGGCACACTACTGGCGTGCGCGCTGGCGGCGGTGGTGGAGTGGCCGGTGGGTGCGATCGTGTACATTTTCCGGCACATGAAAGGTCGACGCATCATGGCCCACCCGGTTAATGTTGTGTATCCCCGTGTTTCCAGCGCGATTCCCATTTAGTTCAGTTGGAATAATATGCTCTCCGCTCTTATTTTCTAGTATTTTCTGTGAAAAATATTAGTGGTGCTCTGTTATTGCTAGGTGATGAAAGTATGATGTTCATCATGAAGGTTGTTTTGCTTGACAGTTGCATTTTTATTAGTGTTGGATCAAATTTTCTTTTAAATTCGACAACTGTGGAGATGCCACTGATGAGAAGAGAAGTTTTTTAAGATGTTAAAACATACTAATTAAAAACTCCCTTGAACATTAGATGATACAGGGGATATCATAGCCAAACAATTCGAAGAATTAAGAAAATATAATGGCAAGGTTAATCAAAGAAACAATGCAACACCTTCCAAGTTTTGCAAGCTTCCTCTACTTCTGCATTGAGAAGGAAACATTCTAAGTCTTTTTGGAGTTACCCGCTATTCCAGAAGGAGGAGATGATGTTATCTGACTGCCATTCATGTAGTGTAGCCTCAATCATATATCGAATCTGAAAGGCGCACGCAATAACAAAGAGAACCTTGAAGTCATAGAAGAAAAGGCTCCTACAATGTTCAAGATTCTTTCTCAAGAATCATGCCGAGTGAGGATACGCCCTTGGATCACATTTCATTATTTGAAGCAGCATTTTCTTTGTGTTAGATCATGGGTTCTTTATGTCTCTAAAAATGTTTACCTTGTGGTGGCTCACTTGCCTTTCTTTTAACATTGATCATTTTTTCTCTGGCAGTTCATAATAGCATTTAGGTTTTGCTAAAAAGCTCCCAAACACTGCTAAAGATGCATTGTGAGATCGATGAGTCATCAAGAAAATTAATCACTAGCTTTTAAGAAGAGATGTTTGCAATTCAAGGATCTCAAGCCAATCATTGCTCAAATAGTGTTGGCTTAGAGCTTTCTAGAAGGTCCACTCAAATATGTTCTCAATCTTCAAAAAATGAAGACCATATGCGAGCTGTAAGAATTTACCAATACACATTTTATTGTGAAAGTGTATAATTATGATGACATTGCATCCACTAAAGCATGGACTAAAACATCATAGAATTAATAGATTCTCTAATAATTTGAAGTGAGATGGCACTCATCCAACTAGGAGGGAGCCAACAATTCAATTTCAATGTTAAAAGGGATTGCTTGCTTTTAAGAAAAGTATTCATCATGATGAAACCTGGGATGATAGGCCTTATAGGGTAAGTTAACCACCTTTAACTCACTTTATTCCAATAATGACTCCTTGTAGAGTCTCAGTGGCTTAATTATTTGTTGTTATTAAAAAAATTAGTAATTTAGAATCTAACACCAATGAGTTAGTGTTCATCTATGTGACCCGAAGATGTATTTCACATCGTGATGATAATCATAACCTGAAAAAGTGTCGTCACCTTTAATGCCTAGTAGGGGAATTGATTAAGGCTTAAAAGTTGAAGAAATTTGCACTTGGTAAGTTGAGTACTAGAAAGCATGGAAAGTTTCCACTACAAAGCATCAATAATGAACTCTAGCTAGTTCAAGCCATCCATATAACTAGAGTGGTCCCAACCATTCTCAAAAGAAATGAATATGAAGTATCTTACTAGTCTATCTACAAATGGCTATGATTAAGAGGTGTATACCTAATAAATTCCTCTAGACCACCAACTCCTACATAAACATCGATTAACTTCACAAATTTCAACATAGCAAGTAGCAACAACTAATATAATAATGTAATATTAATAATGCCACTCATTGCAAATTTTTAGTCTATTTGTGTCATGGTCGACACCAAAAGAATGATAAATATCATCTCTAAAACTATTTTTATCAAAATGAAATTGAAAGGATTGAAGCTTACTTCCACTTTGGTTGCTTGAAAAAAAGGAGCTTACCTACAAGTTGACATCAGGTTAGTTTCCCACTCATTAATAACCATGTCAAGTATGAAGCATTAATCATGAGTCTATAGATCTCCATGATGTAAGTTGCAATTACCTATTGATACATTTTGACTTCAAGGTGGTAGTGAATCAAGTAAATTAGCTAATAAGAAGTAAAAAAAAAGTTCTAGAAGTTCTTATTGAAAGGAAAATTAGAGATAATATTTCAGTATTTACAAGGATACACATCCCTAAGGATGAGAAAGAGATTAATGACCATTATTTTAAAGTGAGAAATCTTGATGATGAATGTAATTTTGAATTGCCCCAACTAACCATCCTCAAGATCAAACTCATTGAAACTAAACAATCAGGAGAACCTGGCTAGGTGGATGAACTCATAGAATATCTAAAATTAGTGACTATCACCTCAACTATTCAGGACGGACGCTCAGTGCTTACGAGACGATGAAATAATACTTGTTAATCAATGACATGTTATTCAAGAGGTCGTTAATGGTGTCATTCCTAAGAAGCATTCTCAAAACACAAACCAAAGAAGACTTTAAAGAAGCACACTTGAGAAATATGACTTTAGGTACTAAAACCATGTGAATTGCATACTCTGATAAGGGTAAGTTTGGCCATTTTTTTGAAAATATGCTAAGGATTTCTCCAAAAGGATGAAAATTTACTACAATGAATGGACCTAACCTCCTAAACTTTAATTTTCCTAGAAATATTTAATTTTGAATTATGCTACAAAACCTCAAATCAAGGGGAAAATTGTTTTCTTATAAGCTTCTGATGATGTGATTTCTTCTTATGTTCATTATAGATTTTAAGATTCTTATAAGCTTTTAATCTAGTATCCTCTATTTCATTCAACCGTAATAACCTTTTTTCTTTTGAGTCCCTAAGATTATAATTGAATTTTATGACTGCCTAGTAGGCCCTATGCTCCAATTCAACTAGTAAATGATAGGCTTTTCCAAAAATCAACCTATATGGGGACATTCCTAATGTTGTATTGAAAGTTGTATTATTCCTACTTGGATTAATAGTTTTTTATAAATTTTTTTTATGTCCATGTTTGATACCTCCGCTAATCAACTAGTTTGAGGATGGTAAACGGTATAAATCTTATGTTTAATTTCAAATTTGTCACTAGTGCAACAATTCTTTTAATTTAGAAAAGGCTTCTCCCATCATTAATTATAACTCTTGGCATTTCAAATCTACTAAAGTATTAATCTATGAAATGTTGGTTAAAGACACTACTTCAATCCATTTTTGAGACATAATGTATTGCTACCATGATTTGAATCTTACCTAAAAAGGCACAAGTGACCCAATGAAAGTTATTTCCTATATATCAAATATTTTAACTTCAAAAATATAGTTTTAAGGCTTCTCGTTTATTCTAAATATATTGTCGCCTCTATGCCATTATTAAGATTTTTTAATATAATAATTAACATTTTTAAATTGGGTTGACAAGTAAAATCCATATTGTAAAAATTTATAATCTTCTCTAAATCTTTTGAAATGATCTCCAAATTCGGAATCATGGTAGACTCTAATAATCTTATTTACTTCCTCCAGTGAAACACACCTCCTAATATTTGATCCTTACATTTTCTAAAGAAGTAAGGCTCATCCCGAAATTAAAATCTAGTAGCATAAATAAACTTCTATCTTTAATTATACGATATATCAAAATGTATGAAACAACTAACAGTGTAATTCAATAGATCAACATACCAAGAAATATTTTGTTGATAAATTACAATAATCTATTCATAAAAAAGTTCTCATTAATATCTTCAAGAAGTTTGTAAGAATTTTCATGTTCTAAACCTGATAAGTGATTTGCTCCCCAGTTTTTAGTGCATTTCATATATAATATATCTATATTGAATTCATTTAGCATAAGTGTCCCACTAATCATTCAAGTTTTAGCATAATTCTTCGTTATGAGACAATTTATTACATATTGGTCCATCTAAACTTTATATTTATTCTTTATTAGGTAGGATTAAACTTGTAAAATGTAAAAACTATTGCAAGTAAGTCCTTCTCTATGGTGGTATAATTCTCTTGTGCTTCTCTTATGGTCTTACTCACATAGTGTACCGCATAAAAATCTTATATCCCTGCTATCTTAACATTGTTTACTCATTAGCATCACAAATTAGCTCATATGAATTCTTTTGGTTTGATGCAATAATATCTGGTGCAGTGACTAATTTTTCTCTAAAGCTCTCAAAGGCTACGAGGCATTTTTCAACAAACTTCAAAGGCACTTCCTTCTCTAATAAATGACATAATATTAATGATATCTTAGAGATGGCTTAAATTTATCTACAATATATTCTTGCAAGTCCAACATAACTCATAATCCCACTAACAGATATGGGCGGACGTAGTTTTTCTATTACTTCAATTTTTTCTTGATTTAGTTCCTTTCCTTTCTCTGATAACTTATGCTCAAGTAGAATCCCTTAGAAAATCATAAATTGACACTTTTCCAATTAAGTAGAAGAATAGTCACTTCACATCTTTGCAAAGCTCTTGATAAGAGTTCATGATAAGCATAAAAGGATATGTCGAATAGAGAGAATCATCCATAAAATCTCCTATCCCTTTTGTGTCAAACCTAAAAAGATTGTCATCAAACATCTCACAAGTCATAGGAAGTTTACTTAGTTTAGAAGGCATTTACCTGAAAGAAAAAGTCTTATAAAGACAAATAATGGTGGTCTTACCTTATCTTTTAGAGCTATATAAATTTGATGATAACTAAAATATCCATCTAGGAAACCATAATATAGGTGCCCTACCAATCTGTCTAACATTTGGTAAAGTAAGCTTAAGGGCAAATTATCTTTTTAAGTGGCTTTTTAAATCTCATATAGTCTATTCGTATTCTCACATTTTTTTTATTAAGAATACAATGTATTAAGTTAACCCATGTGCTATTCAAAAAAGGATAAAGGAGTCCTAATTCTTACCACTATAAGATTTGTTTTATAAAACATCTTTCATAACATGTTTTAGCCTCTTCTAAGGATCTGCTTTGGTTCGGTGATTTTCTTCCATCAAATTTATATGCATGTAATGAAGGATTTAGAGCATTTATATCAGTTATAGTCTACAGAAAAGTTTTCCAAAAATTTGTTAATATTCTTATCAACTTTGCCTTATGTAAATAAGCTAGTTCAAATGAAATAATGATGGGAAAATTAGTAGATTTTGTGAAAATGCATATTTTAAATGTTTTTCAAGAATCTATAGTTCAAACTTAAAGGCCTCA